GCCTCCTCGTCCTCCTCCTCGTTCTTCCCCCCCCCCCCCCTCTTAAAATCCGGAGCCGTTCTCCGGCCGCTCCGTCCGCCGCTCCTCCCCTCCCCCCCTCCCTCCCCCCACCCCCCTTTACAACCACGCCGGCCCTCCCCTCTGCCCCCCGCTTCGGGGGGATCACGGGAAATGGAGTCCGTATCCGAGCGGCCCCCGAGCGGCAAAATGGCGGCGGCGGCGCCGCCAGAAGGAGGAGGCGCCAAAACAACTCTCGCGAGACTTCCGCCGCGGCTCCGTGGGAAAGGCGAGGTGGTCTCGCGAGGGTTGGCTCCGCCAGAAGGAGGAGGTGCCAAAATAACTCTCGCGAGACTTCCGCCGCGGCTCAGTGGGAAAAGGGAGGTGGTCTCGCGAGAAGTGGCGCGGCCAGATGGAGGAGGAGGAGGAGGCGGCAAAACAACTATCGCGAGACTTCCGCCGTGGATCTATGGGAAAGGCGAGGTGGTCTCGCGAGAAGTGGCGCCGCCAGAAGGAGGAGGTGCCAAAACAACTATCGCGAGACTTCCGCCGCAGCTCTGTGGGAAAAGATAAATGGTCCCGCGAGAAGTGGCGCCGCCAGAAGGAGGAGGCGCCAAAAGAAGTATCGCGAGACTTCCGCCGTGGCTCTAAGGGGAAAGCGACGTGGTCTCGCGAGGGTTGGCTCCACGTCGGATCTCGCGGGGTTTGGTACGGCTGATCCTCGCTGACATCTCGCGAGGTTTGAGGCGATCGAGAGCGAAAAAGAACCTGCGGGAATCTCGCGAGATTTCAGTGAGGCGGGGACCGCTGCGGTCTGAAGGGGATGAGATCTCGCGAGACTTCTACACGCACGGGGTTTGAACGGGATGAAACGTGAAGATCTCGCGAGAGTTTAATCGGGGGATCAGCGCGGACTTCTCACACGGGAGGGGCTGGAGGGCAACCTAGAGAAAATCTCGCGAGATTTCGTCAAGGAGAAGCGGCGGATTGGAGAGAAAGGACGCGACCGTCTCGCGAGATTTCCAAACGGGAATGAATCCGGAGATATCGCGATGTTTGAGGAGACGGTGGGCGGGAGGCACATGGCGGGAAAGCACGCCGCCTCCCCCCCCCCACCCGACGAGACGGGGGAAGTCTCGCGAGAAGTGGGAGAGCGAGAGGCGAGACCCGCTCTGTGGGTCCGACGTGCCGGCCTTGACGCAACTTCCGGTCTGTGGCCACAACTTCCGGTCCGCAGCACACTTTCCCCCCGGCGCCGCGGTCCGATTTGGGTAACGTAGCCCACTTCCGGTTTTCCCCACATATGGGTGAGCGGAACCGGAAGTGCCGTCGGAACTCCCTCCGCCATGACCTGGAGGGAGCGGAGCCGTTCCCCTCAGAGCCCCGCAGGCCCCTCTGTCCTCCACAGAACCCCGTGGACGCCGTTCAGCTCCACTCGGCCAATAGACTCCATCGAAACAAACGGAACGATAGATGAAACCTGGGGTTTGCCTCCCCCTCTCTCTTTCCGCCCTCCGGTACCGCTTTCCCGGGTTACGAACTACACTTTCCCATCAGCCTTTTTGGCTCCACTTGCTGCTCGTGACTCCCGCGCCGCCTCTGAGTTCCGCTTCCGGTTTGCGGCTTCCGCCCCACCCCCCTGTCTGGGACACCAACTTCCGGTCTGCGCCTGCCCGTCCTGTCTTTTTGCCCACAACATCCGCTCCTCCGCTCCCTTCCCTCTCAGGGCCGCGCGGTACGCTGGGAGCTGCAGTCCACTTCCGCCCTAGGACGCACGGCGGGACATAGTGACCGGAAGTTCTAACTTTCAGCTCACGACTGTGACCCAGCTTCCGGTCCGTGGCTCTCAGCCTCGTTTGCGCCTCCCTCTTCCGGATTCGAGCTACGGCTTCCGGTCCATGGCTCCCACTTCCGGTTTTGATCCACAACTTCCGGTCCGTGGCTCTCAGCTCCGTCTGCAGCTCACGTTCCCAATCTGCGGCTCCCACTTCCGGTTTTTCGCCCCCCACTTCCGCCCTGCCCCTCTCTTCCCGCTCCCGGCCGCGTGGCACTCTGGGAGCCGTAGTCCGCTTCCGCCTCTCGTTCCATGGCCGCGCACAGGACCGGAAGTGCCCTCCGAACTACACCCGCCATGCTTCCCCGCCGCCCCTCTGCCCCATGGCGGAGCCGCTGCCCTGGTGCGTGGCCGCTCTCCGTTCCCGCACCGAACCGGGGCTGAGCCGCGCTTTAACGGCTTTACGACGATGGCACACGCGAAACCCGAAAGGAGCCGAAGGATTCCGGGCTCGGGGTGGAGTCAAACCGCTTTTGGAGCTTTTAGGACCTCCGTGGAAAGGACGCACGGTGGAATTGGCGCTCAGCGTTCTCGGCAACGTCTGCGCCGAAAAGAGCTGCCGGAGGGAAGCCAGGAGATGCGGAGGAGTCGGGAGGCTGGGTGAGGGGCTGTAGTGTCGCGATACGCCGCCGTACATATCGCGATACGGCGCCGTGGCTGTCGCGATAGGTCGCCATACTGGGCCCTGGTTGGAGCCGCGGGG